CACTCATTCGCTCCACAACGTATTAATCCTCAACGCATTTTTGTTATCCGTTTTTGTTCTTGTTTTCGTTTTGTTCTGTAATAGTTTATAAATAAATAAATGTTACATAAAAATAGTAGTGGTGATCAGAGTTCAAACCAATAGTATTCTAGTTCCTGATTCTTGCCGCTACATTACTTTCTTGAAGGTAACGTTTCATTGGTCGGATCTTACCATATTAATTCATTCTACATCGCTAGATAGCGCAGTGAAAGTACATTAACGCCATTTTACGTCTCGCGAGAAGACATGATTTCATCTTGTTGCTTAAAATAATATTGTTGTGTTGCTTTTTATTCTAAATCTTTGCAAATAAATAAAAAATCAAGATGATAAGTGTAGAAATTTCTACCGGAAGATCCATTGAGCAAATATTTGTTAGCGACTTATTGCTTTCAATCGACGAAATCTGGGAACGATTTGAAATAATAACTGTAAGTATTATATCAAAAATCTAACCTTAGAACTTCTTGCGTATTTGTTCTCCACTCTTTTATTTCTAAATTGTAAGTAAATTATAACAATTATTAATAAATGCGATATTTTCTTTTGTTACAGGGCGCATCGAGAAAAAATTTTTATGTAGTTAAAAATGGCCGAACTATTGGGGAAAATAATGAACTTTTGGATGGGCGTGCAACCATCGTTCCTAAATTAATTGGAGGAAAAGGTGGCTTTGGCTCCATGTTACGAGCCATTGGTGCACAGATAGAAAAAACTACAAATCGCGAAGCTTGCAGAGATTTGAGTGGACGTAGATTGAGAGATATTAACGAAGAGAAAAGACTCAAATCTTGGATCGAAAAGCAAGCTGAACATAAAAAGGAAGCAGCTGAGCGTAGAAAAAGGAAGTTGGAAAGACTTTGTGCAGAACCGAAACATGAGTTTAAAGATCAAAATTATGAAAAGAGAAGATCAACTGTCTCTGAAATGATTGAGGAGGCAGTAGAACAAGGATTAAAATGTGCTGCTGCTGATTGTTCAACTATGAAAAGGAAGCGCGAAGAAGAAGTTAAAAGTAATAAGAAGAGAAACATTTTTTACTTAGATATTGATTCAGATGAGCTCGATACTACTACAGATGACGATAGTGATACAGAAGATTCTGCACCATCGACATCCACATCCGATCAACAAATATCTAGTAATAGACTTTCTAGCGATGAGACTAATAATGACAATGAGAAATTAAAAGAAACGAAAGTTTCAGATTTAATTGCTTCTGAAACTGTTAATGCACAGACTGATATTTCAGTAGAATATTCTAAAGACAAAATTGAAGATACTAAAAACGTAAATGTAGATGATAAGAGTGAAACTACTAATGAAGTTTTAATATAATAATAAATAATCTAATTGAATATAGATTTGTACTTTATAGTAGTGTAATATAAATTTTATTCATTTTTACTTTATTAGTAAAATAGATATTGTATTTTTTGTTTTTATTTGTTTTATGTAAAGTTAACATTTATATTTGTGTGTTTATACTTTTTAAATAATTAATCAATATTGATTTTTTCTTTAAAATTACTTTTCTTGGTAAAGTGGCCTTCAGAACACCGTTTATAATTTGAAAGAAATATTTTTTTATAATGCCAATGAATACACAAATATATAATTATATGTAAATATAATATAAAATTATCATAAGTTATGCGTTAGTTACGTAGAGCGTATTATTAAAATAATAATTACAATGAAAAATCAATGGAAGTTTTGAAATATAGAGTTCTCTAGTAAGTTGTATACCAATCGCAAATAATGTTACTGATGCTACTACTGATTTCAAAAAGTCATCTGCAAGAATGCTCTTACGAGTACACTGATATAGGTCCAATATATATTTGGTACCAATGAGAATGAAATTATCATTTCTTCCACATCCTTCTTGAATTTTTGACGAAGTTTCATCTAAGTATTTAAGTTAGAATACAATTTAATAAACTAATTAAACAATCAGAGGTTTATTGTATTTTACTCACTTTTAGAAAAAAATTTTTGGCATCTATGAGCGTAAGGGCTGTTACAACAAATTTTTTTACGAGACATCTACGAATTATAATTAATTATTTTACGTGGATACAGTTTATATACATATATTTATATAATTATTTGTTTATTCTTTTAAGTATCAAAAATATTTACCATTATGTTTAAAAAATTCTCGTTTTATAAAAATCGTGTTTATATAATTTAGAATTTCTTTCACGACGCGGAGAGACGAATAAATAGAAATTTCATTCTTCGAGATCATGTTTGCAATTTATTTGAGAAAACTTTTTTCCATTTTCAAATACGTTTATTTTATTGATGTTTGACAAGAAGAAATATTTGCAGATCTTCACTTGTTTGATTAATATCTGACATAAGATATAATAATTGATATGTTATGGAAATATACAGTACATTTATATTGCAAAGTATAATATTCGATTTTATGGAATAGCAAAAGAAAACAAAAGTTACCAAATTTGTAAATACGAAGTTAAGAAACATAATAGTAATTTATAGGTAATATAATTGACACTTAATAGCAACATTTATTCATTAGGCCGATAAGATGCAACTGAAACAGAAGTCGCATAGCATTGCATGCAGTGGCATTTCATACTAAAGTTTTTGTTTAAAAACCGTTTACATTTAGAATCGAAGTATCACGTTTTCAGAGAATTTTTTCGAGTATCGGATTTCTATCAACTTTTTTTTTAAAAATTTGTATTAAGGTAAGAATGATTAATAAATATTTTCCAAAATCTCGCAAAAGATATAAACAAACAATTGGTGTATTTGTTTGATTCTTTTAGATAATGTTACTTTTTATTTTACTCTTGTATAGTTTTCACGTTAATTCGATTGGTTCATTGGATGGTATGCAAATTGTTATTAATAATAATAGTAATAATAGTAATAATAGTAATAAAAAAAGAAATAAGATATTTGAGAATATATTTAATAATTATAATTCTGATCAACAGTTGACGTGATGAATCATTTGAATTGGTCACTTCTAGACCATGACAAATGCGGCAATCCCAATACCGATCGTATAATAGGTGGTAAAAACGCAAGTATGGGTGCATATCCGTGGATTGCGAGAATAGGATATTCTATATCTAAATCTAATCCAGTTAATATTAAATAATTAGTTTATAAATGCGGTGGTTCCTTGATTAACAAATATCACGTCTTAACAGCAGCGCATTGCGTGGAAAATTTTCCACATTGGTAAATTATTTGATTCTTTAATTATTTATTTATCACTTTAATTTTTTGTTTTATTTTACAAATCGTATAGCTTATACATTTTTCCTTCGTGATTTTATGTATCATTAATTTTATTTATTTCAATGATGTAAAAAGGCTGACTATTGCCGGCATTCGATTAGGGGAATACAACACATTGACGGATCCAGATTGTGAAGAAGAATTTTGTGCTGAACCAGTTCAAGATTTTCAAATAGCATTTATCAATGTTCATGAAGAGTATGATCGTCCGAAATTTAGAAATAACATAGCAATCATACGTTTGGATAAGCCTGCTGTTTACAATGGCAAGTAAAGTGACATCTGATTAAATGATTTCACTCTTGATATCAAATTTAATTCTATATTATCTAATGTTATTACTCGTATAGAGTTTGTAATACCGATTTGCATGCCGCACGGTGACTTGCTTGAGAAAAATTATATCGGTGAAATGGCGATAGTTGCTGGTCAGGGAGTAGACGATATTGGTAAAGATCTTTTTTTTTCCTTTCTTCTAATTAGAAACTATTATTGTCGTTTCCACAATAAGAGCCTTTTTTTATATTCATTTTAAATATACGATAGAAACATTGAGAACCAGTAAATTGCTTCAAACGATCACGATGCCGATCCAAGATACTGAGAAATGTGTAGAAAGTTTTAAAAAACGTGCTAAAATAAGTGATCAACAAGTATCGTTGGTGAAGATTCCTGCAGCGGGGATAGCGGTGGGCCTTTGATGAAAGTTGAAACTGTTGACGAATTACCAAAATATTATCTCATCGGAATAGTTTCATTTGGGGTAAAAGAATGTGGTAAAACAACGAATCCAGGTGTTTACACTAGAGTGTCTGGTTACATTAACTGGGTACTTAACAATATTAATTCTTAAAATATCCATCGAATGATATATATATATATATATATTAACATATTTATTATTATCTATGAAATAATAGAACGGAATAAAATAATAACTCATAAGGAAAGTCACAATTGTTTGTATTTATTATGAATTTGCTAACTATAATAAATACCCAGAAAATTTACATAAATTATTCATTCGGTAAAAAGTCCATGCCTAGTCATTGAAATTCTGTTTTAAATTACGAAGAAAAATATAGCGGGGAATTAAAAATATTCCAATCTAGAACGAGTAGATACACTCATATGTATACATGACGTAACAACAATTCATAAAATTATAAAAGATATTATCTTAAATAATTAAATATGTGTAATAACAAAAAAGATTATAACACATAAATATATTTATCATAATAATTATTTATCAAGTTCTAAAAAAAAAAGATAAAAATTCAGTTTTCAGTTCCTGTAATGTGGAAAACCTTGTTAATATTAATTATGGAGAAATTTTTGTTTGCCTAATTGCGTGTAATTTTAGAAAAGATTAACCAAAATCGAAGTAGGAAATACTTTCAGAAGTTGAGAAAACGTATGATACGCAAATATAGCCTCAGGCAATTTAATTGGAAATATAAATGCAATAGTGGGGGACAGTAGTTGACCATGACTTCGGTCACACTATCATTTGCGATGTCAGTTAATGCCCGGGACGGCAAGCTTAACAACGAGATCCACGGTTAATCAAAGTTATTCGTAGACACGGAATTCATTGTTTGGTTTTAGTTGTGTGACAAAGATCCGATACTAAGGATGTATTTATTTTTCTCTGTGGTTGCTATCCTTTACTTATCAACGTTTAATATCGGAGATGCACGTAAGAAATTTAATATTTTCTATTTTTATTCATATATTCGTTTTTGGCTTATCAAAAGACTCGTTAACATTTGTATTGATATTCATTAGACATTAATAAAATAATTACAAACAAGTACTCGTTATTTGTCGATTAAATAAAATTATTGTATTTTTTAATGCGTTAAATAAAATCAAAATTATTATAAGAACGTTTACGATGCAAAATAAAAGTGTTAATCTGAATGGATGGCGAAATCAGCATTCCGTTTATGAAGTCATCAATGTTAACGATCTACAGTTTCCAATAATATACAATACAATCTTACTTTAATGATTACATATGTGTATTTGTACATATTAAATTCTAATATGTTTGACGGATTTAAATCATTTATCATGTATTATTTTCCTTAACGAATAGTTGGGAATACAAAGCCGGATACGATGAAAATAATTTTGTGGAAAAATCCGTAGTAATTAAAACGTTATATACAATATTATTTATCTCGATCTTGTTCAATATATTACATGTAGTCGCATTTATGTGAATATTATTTGATATTTTATAGATTACTTGTCGGAACGAAATATTATAAATTACGACGATGTAAGTTAGGTCATATTTTGAATCTTAAGTAACCGATTTTACGTATGCATATCTCATCATTAAGATTATTATAAAAAAAATAAAATGTAAATTAGGAATTCCGGATTTTTTGTTGAAAGTTATCAAATGTGTTTTCTTTTTTATTTTTTCGTAGAATATCAAGCACCATTCGATTGCAATACACCAAATGGAGTTGCTGGAAGTTGTATTAACATACGTCAGTGTATACCGTTGATAAAATTGTTGCAAGAGAGACCTCTTCCCCCAGAAAGTGAGAATTATTTAAGACAGTCCCAATGCGGTTTTGAAGGCCAAAATCCTCGCGTATGTTGTCCCGCCGGATCGAATCGAATTGATTTATCTCCTTCTCGGGGGAACATACCATCTACAGATAGCCCATTGGAAACTGGAAACAAGGCAGAATTAATTGACAATTTACTCAATAATCCTTTGTTGCCAAGCGAATGCGGTAAAGATTTGATAGTTCGAATTATTGGAGGAACGCCTACTGCCCTTGAAGAATTTCCATGGATGGCTCTGTTGGAATATCAACATCGTGAGTAATTATTAATTAATTTAATTTATTATCATAAGAGAAAATCCAGATTATTTAAAAATAAATTTGATAATTGGTTGTACAGGAAAATTATATGTGAAGATATACAATTTTTAGATACAACATGCATTCATGTAAAAATTAAAGCAAATATCTAATCGAGGATATTATCTAGAGTATTAGTTTATATTATAGACAAAATCTTAATTTTTCTTTAATAATTTTTTTTAGCAAGAGGACACAGCACTGCCTGCGGAGGAGTTCTTATTAGCAAACGTTACGTGCTTACTGCAGCGCATTGTTTGAAGGGAAAAGATTTACCACCAACGTGGTCGTTAAAGAACGTACGATTAGGCGAATACGATACTAGTTCCGATAAAGATTGCATTACATCCAATGATGTAGTTATATGCTCCGATGACCCGATCACGGTTGGGATCGAAGAACAAATTGTACATGAACAATACGATCCAAGATCGCGAGATCAGAAATATGACATCGCAATGTTGAGATTGTCAAGAGACATTATTTCGACTGATTATATTAAGCCTATTTGTTTGCCACGATCAGAAGGGTTGGACGGTCAATTGTACGTAGCTGGTTGGGGTACAACCGAGTTCAATTCATCGTCGAACATAAAACTTAAAGTATCGTTGCCATTGGCAGAAAAAGAAGATTGCGCTAGGACTTATAATCAAGTTAATATTAGACTTGGTTACGGACAAATCTGTGCCGGTGGTACTAAAGGTAAAGATTCATGCAGAGGAGACTCTGGTGGACCACTCGTGAGCCGTTTAAATACACTTAGTGGTGCTGAATTATGGACAACCGTAGGAGTCGTATCTTTTGGTCCAACACCTTGCGGTTTGCAAGGTTGGCCTGGCGTTTATACCAAAGTTTACGATTATGTTCCGTGGATAGTCGGTAACATAAAACCTTAAAGTAACTATGAAAAAATTTGCTCTTTGCTCTCATGTCTTCATATTATTTAAAATTTTTTTTTCGCCTTACCTTTTTCCTCTTTGGTAAATGACGTATTTAAATTAATTGGATGAATAATTCGAAATATCTAATGTTAGTATAAGAAATTATTGTTATGGTAATTTTCAAGATTTTAAAGTGACAAGACATTATTAAGAAACATTCGAAGAAAATTATAGAAAAAAAAAACTGCCAGAATGTAATAGATCTTGTACTTGTGATTATCAACAGGCAACTATAATTAATTCTATAAGAACGTGTGCTTAAAATGGTAGCATTTAATGTAATCTTATTATATACATATTATTATATTAATCCTTCTTTTAGTTTAAGGAATAATTTTGTTTCTATTGTCTTCGGAAGAATAAAAATTCGTTCCTTTTTTATTTTTACTTTTTTCGTAAGTATAGTACGGCATTTTTATTTATTTATTATCTCCTGTATATGTACTTATAAATGAACAAAAATAGACATTCAAAATGAAGATTATATTCGGTATCTCCATCATTGCAAATGCCAATTAGTTCTCGGATTTCCCACTGTTACGAAATCTGTGGTCCATCGACGTCATTCGATGTATGACGAAACAATAATAGCTCGTAAAATTATAAAAAACAATATTATTTGTAATTTGATATGTGCGTAATAAGAATAAGATGATAGTAACATTTAGTTATACGATCTTGCAATGAAGAAAACTTTGTTAATAATGATCGTAGTGAAAATATTGTTCGTTTCGTTGTATAAATTTTTAGAATAGTTGAGTCGAAATCGAAATAAAAAATATTATTGGAAGTTGATAAAACGTATAATACGCAAACACAGTCTCAAGTAATTTAGTCGGAAATATAAATTCAATAGTGGGAGACAGTAGTTGACCATGGCTTCGGTCGCACAATCATTTGTGATGCCAGTCGATGCTTGGACTTCTTCGTAGACATGTAATTCATTGTGTGCTTTTAGTTGTTTGACAAAGATCAGATATTAAGGATGTATTTATTTTTTTCCGTCGTTGTTATCTTTTACGTATCATCGTTTATTATTGTCGATGCACGTAAGTAATTAAATATTTGCAATTTTTATTTATATATCTTCGTTGAGCTTATGAAAAGATTCGTTAACACTTGAATCAATATGTAATTAAATTTAATTCATAACGTAAACGAAAAATAATTTATTATACTAATATTTTATTTGATTTAAATTATATAATATGTTCGAACAAAATATTATACATTAAGGTGATGTACAAATTTACGTATGAGTATCCTCACCGTCATTATTATAAAAAAACAATGCTAAAAGAAGATTGGAAATTCTAATTTCTCTAAAACATATAAAATATGTTTTTCATTCGTAGAAAATTTAATATCTCGCGATTGCAATACACCAAATGGAACTAGTGGAAGTTGCATAAGCATACAACAATGTTTGCCATTCGTAGCAATGCTCCAAGAGAAACCTATTCGTTCCGAAATTATAGACTATCTGAAACAATCTAATTGCGGATTCGAAGGTCACGATCCTCACGTGTGTTGTCCTACTGAATCTGATTTGATCAATCCATTTTTTATTCCGGTGAGCTTCCCACCTACAACAGTTAAAAATAGCACATTGGAGAATATGAATAATAACGACCCTATCATCAGTTTACTTGATAATCCTTTGTTACCAAGCGAATGTGGGAGAGATTCGAAACCTCGAGATTTGGAAGTACGAGATACCGCCCTTGACGAGTTTCCATGGATGGCACTATTGGAATATGATGATGGTAAGCATTATTATTTTAATTTTATATCATTCAAAAATCGATTTAATAATTGATCTAAAAACTTATTATGCAAATAAGACTTTATATACAGGGTTTTTCGCCTAATTAGAGATCACCTTAAATATATCGCTTATTTCGTACGATAGAAAAAAAATGTCAGAGGGAAAAAATATTCTGTTCGAAGGCGCCAATACGGTGATGGACCTATTTTTTTCTCAATGTCATTGTTTTTGAGATTTCAAGGTCATCGTATTTTTTTTAAATGGGACTGCATATTTTCACTACTACACTCTTATAGCTTATAAGAAAACGAATCCAACAAGGTGCAATATGTATGTGTATCCTACACATTGATTTGCATTTGTCCTTCATGTACCGTCATCTGTGCGCGTACTAAAGTTTCTGACAAACATTTGTCTAGTTAGGCGAAAGACTCTGTATGATTTGCATTTGCAAGATAAATTGATTTATATAAAAGTTCAATAAATCCTGAATTAAATATATTATTATCTATAGAATTTTTTTTTTTTATATTTATTCTTTCTAAAAATCTAAATATTTTTGTAATAATTTTGTTCAGGAAGCAAAACAACATTTGCCTGTCAAGGAGTTCTTATTACCAAACGTTACGTGCTTACAGCAGCTCATTGCTTATTAAATCAACGAATTGGGATATTATCAAACGTACGATTAGGCGAGTACGATCTCAGTTTTGCAAAGGATTGCGTTAAACGTAATAACTTAGTTACGTGTTCTGATGATCCGATCACAGTTAAGATCGAGAAACAAATCCCACATGAACTATACGTACCAAGATCCGATAATAATGAATATGATATCGGATTATTGCGATTATCAAGAGACATAGTTTCGACTAATTACGTTAAGCCTATTTGTTTACCTAAATCTTCTATAGTCAATAAAAGATTATACATAGCTGGTTGGGATACAACTTCAACGAATACATCCTCGAATGTTAAGCTTAAAGTTTCGTTACCCCTCGTTGACAAAGATGATTGCGATAGAATTTATAAGAATCAACATTTTAAACAAATTTGTGCCGGTGGTGAAACAGATAGAGCTTTATGTAGCGGTGATGCCGGTGGACCACTCATGGGTTTTCAAGATTCATTCAATGGTAATAGAATATGGACAGCAGAAGGAATTGTGTCTTATGGTACTGTACCTTGTGGTATACCTGGTTGGCCTGGTATTTATACTAAAGTATATGATTTTATTCCATGGATAATTAGTAAGATAAGACTTTGAAAAGAAATATTTTTATTATTTAATGAAAACTACATCTTAAAAAATATTTGCGTGGTTCAATAATATTCACTCTGTACAGATTGATATATTATTTGTTTTTTTTTTTTTAATTTATGTAATTCTAAATAATTGTTGTTGTTTTTGAAGAAATAGTTATTATTTTTTATACGTACAATCAAACATTATTCATTCATATTGTCCCTAATATATGAATGAAAATAAACATTCGATCGATAAATAATAAATTGGGAGAAAATTTTATATAGATTCAAAAGCATCGAAGATAATTAATTTTTTTATTTAAGATTGTTGTTCAATTTAGAATCAATTAAAATATATTTTTTCTACGAAAGTCCTTTGAAAATTTTCAACGAATGTAAATCGATATGGATACCACTGAATTGGACAGCTTCATTTCTGTCTCGAAAAATTGTATAAATGTTGGTCATTATCAATTCACGGTTCAATTTGCTACGCGATGACTTTATAAGAATTTTCCATTCGGAATTTCTTTCTATTAATTATTTCTTTTTACTACTTCTTTTGCTCGAAGTGATCAAGAAAGTTATTTAAAATTTTCTCATTGACTATTGTTTATATGACTCTCCGAAGGTTACATATATGCATAACGAAAATAGTATGCATGTAGCAAATAGAATTTATTCTTCGGAAAGTCACATAAACAATATTCAAGAAAAGAACTTACATAGAGGACACCATGTCAGTCTAACAATGGATTCAGAAGAGAGAGGACAGTTACATCGATCTTATACTCGGTGCTTTTAAACAATAATAATCATTTCTTTCGATTAATTATTAATAATTTAATATATATCGCACGATTTGATGTACTTTATTAATATCTTGAATCGTTTAAATTAAAATACATTTGTTTCAACGTTCCTAACAAGTACTGACTTTAAGTTGAGAAAATTTAATTTAATAATTTAATGTAAAAGTAATATAAAAGTAATGAGAAAAACTATGTTGATATTTTTTTATGATGGAATTTTATGATGCGACAAAATCGAAACGGAAAATACTGTTATAAATTAAAAATATGTATAATGTGCAGATATAGCCTCAAGCAATTTAGTCGGAAATATAAATGCAATGGTGGGAGAGACCAGTTGATCATGGCTTTGGTTGCACCATCATTTGTGATGCCAGTCGATGCTTGGACTTCTTCGTAGACATGTAATTCATTGTGTGCTTTTAATTTTTTGACAAAGATCCGATATTAAAGATGTATTTATTTTTTTCCGTCGTTGTTATCTTTTACGTATCATCGTTTATTATTGTCGATGCACGTAAGTAATTAAATATTTGCAATTTTTATTCATATATCCTCGTTTGGTTTATGAAAAGATTCGTTAACACTTGAATCGATGTAATTAAATATAAAATTCATAATGTTAACAAAATAATTAATTTATATATTGATTTAAAAAAATCATTGTATTTCAATATTTACTGAACAAACTCTATGCTACTCTCCGTAAATGATTAATTTAATATGTTAAATGTAATCGCAAATTATGCTACTATAATTTTATTCTATTTAGATTATACTTACCAGAACACAATATCATATTTAACGATGATATAAGCTACACCATAATTCATAATTTTTATAATTGATTTCTGATATGTACATCATCATCAAGATTTTTATATAAAATACTAAAAGAAGATTGGAAATTCTGATTTCTCTAAAACATATAAAATATATTTTTCATTCGTAGAAAATTTAATATCACACGATTGCAATACACCAAATGGAACTAATGGAAGTTGTATAAGCATACGACAATGTTTGCCATTGATAGCAATGCTCCAAGAGAAACCTATTCGTTCCGAAACTATAGACTATCTGAAACAATCTCAATGTGGTTTTGAAGGTCAAGATCCTCGCGTATGCTGTCCTACTAAATCTAATTCAACCGTTTCATCTTTTAATTTATTGGACATCCCACCTACAAAAGTTCAAAATTGCACATTGGAGAATGTAGATAATAATGACCCTATCATCAGATTACTCTATAATCCTTTGCTACCATGCGAATGTGGGAGAGATTCGAAACCTCGAGATTTGGAAGTACGAGATACCGCCCTTGACGAGTTTCCATGGATGGCCGTATTGGAATATAATGATGGTGAGCATTATTATTCAAATTTTATATCACTCATAAATTCAGATTTTTCAATGATAGACCTAAATATTTATTATGCAATAAAACTGAATGGAATCATTTACACATTTGCAAGATAAATTGATTTACTTAAAAGTTAAATAAATCCTCAATTTAAAATATTATTATATATATATCTAAAGGGGGGGGGGGGTTCATGTTTATAGTCTTTTATAATGTACATCTTTCTGTAATAATTTCTTTTAGGAGAGGAAAAAAAATTTATCTGCTCAGGAACTCTTATTACAAACCGTTATGTTTTAACTGCAGCTCATTGCTTGGACAGCATACACTATGGGAAAACGATAAACGTGCGATTAGGCGAGTACGATCTCAAGTCAGTTAAGGATTGCGTTAAACGCGATGATGTAGTTACATGCTCCGATGATCCAATAACAGTTGAGATCGAGGAAATAATCATACATGAACTATACGCACGGTTTTCCAAAAATAATGAATATGATATCGGATTATTGCGATTATCAAAAGACATAGTTTCGACTGATTACGTTAAGCCTATTTGTTTGCCTAGATCTTCTATAATCGATAAAAGATTGTATATAGCTGGTTGGGGTGCAACTTTATCGGATTCATCTTCAAATGTTAAACTTAAAGTTTCGTTACCCCTCGTTGACAAAGACTATTGCACTAGATTGTACAGATTCAAATGGAATTTAACTCTAAGTTTTGAACATATTTGTGCTGGCGGTGAAGAAGATAGAAATCCATGTCAAGGAGATTCAGGGGGACCACTCATGACTTTTCAGAATTTACCCAATGGTGATAAAATATGGACAGCTGTAGGAATCATATCCTTTAGTGCTTATCGTTGCGGTCTACTTAGTGGACCTAGTATTTCTAATAAAGTGTACGATTTCATTCCATGGATAATAAGTAAACTAAGACCTTAAGAAAGAATATCTTTTATTAAATTAAAACTCTCTAGACGGAGAGAGAACTTTTTGTACTTAAATATGATACACTTTGTACATACTTGCATATTAATTTTTCGTCATGTTTTAGGAGTTAATCATTTTGTTTTTATCAACTTAGAAAAAAAAACAATTAAATTTAATGCTAATTTTTACTATTTTTGATATTATAATCCGACATTGTTTATAATTATTATCACTGATATATGAATGAGAATAAACATTTGGAAGTAAGATAATACAAATCGGGAGAAAATTTTATGAATATTTAAAAGGATCGATGTTGATCAATTCATTTCTAAAGGTTATCGTTAAAACTAGGGTCAATGAAAATATTATAAACATACATCAATGGAAAATAATTCAGCATATTTTTAATCAATTTGTTATTTTTAATGCTGTTAAATTCTTGATCATCTCACTTAAATGAGAGATCTCTGATCCATCGGCGTCATTCGTCGTATGATCTAATGACGATTCATAAAAATGTAAAAAATATTATCTTTAAAAATTAAATATGCACTTTAAAGAAGAATAACAGCATAAATTCTTCCGAATAATTTTATATAAAATTCTAAAAAAAAAAAAAAAGATAAACATACAATTTACAGTTCGTGTAATGAGAAAAACTATGTTAATATTTTTTATGGTGGAATTTTCGTTCGTTTAATTGCATAGAATTTTAGAAGAGATGCGACAAAATTGAAACAGAAAAAATTCTGTTAGAAATGAAAAATACGTATACTGCTCAGATGTAGCCTCAAGCAATTTAGTTAGAAATATAAATGCAATGGTGGGGGATACCAGTTGCTCAAGGCTGCGACTACACTATCTTTTGCAATTCCAGTTGTTGTCTGAGATTTCAGGCATAATGATGAGATCCGTGGTCAATCAAAAACATTCGTAAACACAGAATTTATTGTTTGCTTTTAATTGTTTAAAAAAGATTCGATATTAAGGATGTATTTAATTTTTTCCGTCGTTACTACCTTTTACGTATCATCATTTATTATTGTCGATGCACGTAAGTAATTAAATATTTGCAATTTTTATTCATATCATCATTATTCATTCATCTGAAATCGAACTAACGTTTGAATATCTACATTATCATAATTATACAAAATATTAAGAGAATATTAGAAAATTCTCATTTATTTAAACCTTATAAAATACATTCTTTTCATAGAACATTTAAAATCATCGGAATGCAGTACACTAAATAAAATTACTGGAGAATGTATCAGCATACGTCAATGTATTCCATTGTTAGAACGACTAAAAGAAAAACCTCTTCGTCCAGAAACTATTGACTATTTAAAAAGCTATCATTGTGGTTTCGATGGTCTAGATCCACGCGTATGCTGTCCTCCTGACATTAATTTACCTAATCCAAATTTGAATCAATCGTTCGTATCATCTTCAAAAGATCCGATTAGTACATTAGAGAATGTAGATAATAATGACCCTATCATCAGATTACTCGATAATCCTTTGTTACCAAGCGAATGTGGGAGAGATTCAATAACTCGAGATTTAAAAGCAGCAGCTACTATCCCTGGCGAATTTCCATGGATGGCACTATTAGAATATAAGAACGGTAAGCATTATTATTCCAGTTTTATATCATCCATAAATCCAGATTTTCCAATAACAGATCTAAGTATTTGTTATGCAATAAAACTGAATGGAATGATTTACACATTTACAAGATAAATTGATTTACTTAAGCGTTAAACAAATCTTGTATTTAAAATATTATTATCTAAAAGTTCTCTTTCATGTTTTGAGTCCTTAGTAATCTTAATCTTTCTCTTATTATTTCTGTTAGGAATAAATAGAAGAATTGTCTGTACTGGAAGTCTTATTACTAAACGTTACGTACTTACTGCAGCTCACTGTTTCAGCAACAAAAGAATTGGGATATTGTCGAACGTACGATTAGGCGTATACGATCTGAGTTCAGCTATGAATTGCAATGAATGTGATGACGTGGACATATGCTCTGATGGTTCAATCAGAGTTGGGATCGAGGAATCAATCAAACATGAACTATTTATATCATTTCAACAAGATATTGATTACGATATCGGATTATTGCGATTATCAAGAGACATAGTTTCGAATGATTACGTTAAGCCTATTTGTTTGCCTAGAACTTCTATAGTCAATAAAATATTGTATATAGCTGGTTGGGGTGCAACTTTAACGAGTACATCCTCAAATGTTAAACTTAAAGTTTCGTTACCCCTCGTTGACAAAGACTATTGCGCTAAATTGTACAGACAACAATGGAATTTAACTCTAGGTTTTTTACATATTTGTGCCGATGGTGAAGATGGTAGAGATGCATGCAGCGGTGATGGCGGTGGACCACTCATGGGTTTTCAAGATTTACCCAATGGTGATAAAATATGGACAGTCGTAGGAGTCGTATCTTTTGGTCCTAGATATTGTGGCATCCCTGGTTGGCCTAGTGTTTTTGTTAATGTATATGATTTAATTCCATGGATAATTAGCAAGATAAGACTTTAAAAATGAGTATTATTTATTTAATGAAAAAAAAAAAAACTTTCTAATATTTTGATACCAACATTTGATTGACTCCGTAGATATTCGTATATTAATTTATATATATTCGTCTAGTTTTATTAATTTATAATTTTGTACTTATCAAGTTCGAAACAATAAAACCTAATGCTTATTTTTACAATTTTTAATACGTACTAACCGACATTGTTTATAATTATTATACCTAATATATGAATGAAACTTAATACTCAATCGAATAATATTAAACCGGGAGATAGTTTTATAAATATACAAAATCATAAATTATGATCAATCCATTTTTAAAGGTTATCGTTAAAAACTAGGGTCAATAAAAATGTTATAAATAAGATAAATATCGATAACATTATCATTAGGAAAGTACGAATATTTTTTTAATTTTATATAAATTCTTCGTATTATTTCCTTCATACTCACTATTACATCCTTGTTTAATCATTGCTTGAAATATTATATGTTCAATGCGAATTAAGTGACTGATAACGGATATTCAATCTTGGGAATACTTCTATCAATTTTGATTTGCGATGTTTTTAATGTTATTATACACTTAAAAAAGTTAACATCGTTTGGAAATTCCCGTAATTTTTATGCGATAGAATATTACTCGACAATAAAAAACATTATATTTTACTCTTAATTAATGATTACATTTATTTTTTAAATAAATTGTAAAAAATTTATTAAATTATTTTTAGGCAAGGATTCCATATTTATATTTTGAAATCGGTTAAATATTTACTTCATTATGTGCGTTTAAAGAGACCGTAATTTTCGATATGTACCGTAGTTTTCGAACAAGTCACAAATACGGTGAGTTCGACGCTTACATCTCAACTGATAATTTACTGGTATGCATATGCACTTATCTATAAAGTTGATAAAAACTCAACATTAAAATCATCATATCAAAAAAATGGATAAAGACTCTCTATGGTCCATTAACGCGTTGATTGTCGTGTCAACACGACAAATAGTAAAAATACATAATTAGAGTAAATATCGATACTGATAAATTTTTAAATAATACCATTATTTTTATAAAGGTTTTTTGAAGAAAATAATGACATATAGAACATGCAAAAATAATTTTATAATTACAATGAAAATATGCATGACGTTTAACGACATTTTTTCTATTCGTAATTGCTTGATAAGATACAATTACAAGTTACTTGTTTGTATAATACCATTTAATTTAAAGAGTATTTTTTTAGGAATTTCCCAGACGTTTATACGAGATTTGAGATATGGCTGTCAACGTGTCAACACATTACTGATACAAGAAACAATTATTTTGTTGAAATTTATATTAGATTTATTTAAATAATTAGGAACCATGACACATCGAGAAAGTTTCCTTGTTTTATAATTAATGAATAGTTTTCCTTCATCAGAGCATGCCATTGCATATGAATTACTGGATGACGTATTCTATTGACGTCTACATTATATATATCACGTATTATGTATAGATACATAATACACATATGTATGTCTATACATACATAAGTATGTTAATGCTATTTATTATCATTAACGACCGTTAGTATTACTCGCATCCTTATTACAGTAACGAGAAATGACCTTAACGGTTTTCAACCTAGTTACAGGAATTTAACAGGAAATAAATCATACGGTATGATATATATATATAATTTTTTTTCCTTAAAGACTCTAATTTATGCATTACAACTTAAATCATATTTCGAACTGTTACCATCTATCAGGTTCCGAAATTTAAAGCATAATTATCATTTAACGACCATTTTAAAAAATTATTAATTCATTAATAAACATTTACTGGCCAATCTCTGATTGTCATCGATTGAAAAGTTTAAAGAACATTATAAATGAATCTTTTTTTTATTTTCTCTTTCTGTATTTAGACAATATTGTGAAATGGGTAGATTAAAAATTGCGGAAGAGAAAGGAAAGAAAAAAAAAGGCCAAAATAAATAAGAAGATAAATTTAGCTTTAGATTAATTCATTCACTACCTGTGAGTATTTGAATAAATATTTTCGTGATGATTTACACGAAAGGACTGCCCATTATTTCGAAAAAAATTTAAAAACCAATTGAAAAGCAAATGGTGTAGTATGAGAGATACTTTTTAGTCAGTCAATTGGTAAAGCAATGTTTTTTTCCTTCACTCTTCCTCTGATCAAGCCCCCTCTCATTTTAACATTGTGTCCCACTACTTTTATACTTCTTCCCCTCTTCTTATATTTCTCTCTGTAAGAGAGAAGGAGAACTTCTCTCATTCGCAAAGAATATAAATAGAAATTGATATAAGGAGGGGAACTGGTTTGATCAGTTTCATCCCTCGTCGTGAAAAATTACATAAATAACGGTGATTATCGGTCCCATGCTCAGTTCGCTACACGACGCGGTCGGGAAACAAAAATAATTCATTCTCATTAGGTGTCACTTAATTTTAAGTGACAAAGAAATATACACAAAGTTATCGAGTAATCGAAAAATGTCTAAGAACTCAACCATGTATATTTCATTTTACATCATTCTCGCAACATTGTTATTCCTATTGTGCACTAACACGAGTGCTCGTAAGTATCATATCCATTTATTTTTTCGTATCTTTTCCTCGACCTCGCAATACGGTTTATTTTATTACGGACTGTGTAAAAGTATCTCTTATAATTCTTGTATTTTTTCTTTCATTCGTCTTTAAATTACTAACAATCATTATTAGTTTGTGCCCAGCGGCTGTTTTCTTTTTCTTTGTTCTTTTTGTATATATCGCAACAATTTACTCATATATAATTGCTCAATTATCGGATATCAAAGCAAGATATCAATGACAAATAATAGAAATACTCTCTGTCGAAGGTATAAATATATATAAAATATTATAAAAAAAAAATAAACATATTATCGATAATCACGTAATAACGACCGCAGTAATTACAAGATCTGTTTGTTTAAAAATCGTACGTGTATATGCTAACGTTGGTAGAACAAGCTTAAAAATTTTGTAGTCGTGATATCATTCTCTTTTTACTTTTATAGTATAATAATTAAATTTTAATGTTGTATAAGCATGCGACTTCCGTTTGATGGTTACTTTTCTTCTTTTGGTTTTCTTATCTATATACAATAGAATAGCTCGCTCATTGAATTTCAAAAACAATTGTTATAACCAAATAATGGTATTTATTTATTTATTTTTGCTTTGATCTCGATAAATTATGTCAAATCTTTTTTAAAAGAAAACATAATCAATAAAGGACAATTTTAAAAATGTTAATAATTCGAAGTTTTTCACTTTCCAGAGGAAAGCTGTTTCACGCCAAACAATGTTAGCGGTAATTGCATTAACATCAAAAATTGCGACCCAATAATAAGAGCTTTGCAGAGTCAAAAAAAACCTTTGTCCAAAGAAATGATCGAATTTTTAAAAGCGTTCCAATGCGGTTACGAGGGTAAAGATCCAAAAGTTTGCTGTCCTAGTCAAGTGAGTTTATATTATTTTATTAAACGGATTTAATATTGTTTTTGTATTTCAAAACACGAATGCTTTCGAATCAATTTTATCATCTAATTTCAATTAAAATCATAATTATTAAGATAACGATCTTCTTTAACGATCGAACAAATATTCATTATTGAAAAATGTACATTATTATAATTATTATTATCTTCAAAGGATCCTTTATATTGATCAATATATTCATATATGAAAGTAAAAATGATCTCAAATGTAATTTTAAAGAAATTAGGTAAAATTTCAAGAGCATTGATATACGTGTTTTCTTTCTTCGATCCTTCGAAACAGAAATTATGGAATAAATTATTATCCAAGAGTAAAACAGATAAAACATTTTATACCGACAATATGTTCTATGTTGGTTCATTATTTCGAAATATTCATTTTTTTCCTTAATTCCTTGAAAGATTCATTGAGGAAACGATAAAACACATTCCTACGAGAAGGGATTCGCTTATTTGACGACTCGAAGAAAGAATTTCCTCTTACTATTATGATTATCAAACACTTCCATCACGACCGTGTTTATTTATCTTTCCGTTACATACAATTTTAATAAAGTATCACTTTCAGCAGAGAATTTTGTTTAGGTTAAAACATCTATCATAATTTGTTCATGACCACGTTTCATATCGTAAAGACTGAAAGCTATTCTGAACAATCTCTCTATCGGTTCTTATAATTTATCGGTATTATTTAAAACCGATCACGTGAGCAGTTCATGCATCACGTCTATAATCATGACATTTGTAAGATGACCTTGTTAACAGCTTCTTTGTTTAAGATATTGGAAAATCTTTAAAAAGAAAAAAACAAATAACTCGTCTTACAGAAATATAAAATATTTTTAATTAATTTTTTCTTTTCTTTTTATTATTGTTATTATTATTATTATTATTATTATTACTTAATTTAATTTAATTCTCTACAGGATAGATAAAATATTTCAACGTATGACAATAAACACGCGCATTCATTTTAGTCCAAACCAACTTCTACTCCTTCAAGGAATACAACTCAGGAAATTCCCGTTGCTCCGGATATATCGAACCATCCAAATCTTCGAATGTTAGACATCAATCTTTGTGGTCAGTCTATTCAAACGAAGATCGTTGGTGGAGAAGCAACTGGTATCCTCAGTTATCCATGGATGGCTCTTCTTTCATATAACACTGGAAAAAGGCAACCGGAATTTCGATGCGATGGATCTTTGATTACAAAACGTTATGTCCTTACTGCTGCCCATTGTGTTACTTCATTGCAATCAGGTTCAAATTTTATCTTAATAATAATATCGACTGATTTGTCTATTTCTTCTAATAATCTATAATGTAGCGTATATTATGTATATTATACCTAAACCTTGTCATTTTCTTAGTCAAGTAAAAAGTTTTTTCTTATGATTGTATTTTTTTTTTTTTAGGTTCATCGCTGATTAGTGTTAGATTAGGAGAACATGATGTTAGAACGGAACGTGACTGTGAAATGGATGGTAATGTCGTATTATATTGTGCAGATAAATATCAAGATTTTGGCATTGAAAGTGTACATTATCACCCAGGATATTCGCAATTAGAAAATGATATTGCCTTGATACGATTAGATAAAGATGCTAATTTGACAGTTAATAACGTTAGACCGATTTGTTTACCAAATCAAGATATTGCTACGATTCCGGAACAGGTAATATAATACTTGACTATTGTCATAGAAATGATCATCTGAAATATTGTTCTTGTCTTTTGATATTGTACATGGTACAACAAGAAATGAATTTCAAACGGTTGAAAAAAAAAATGTGATTTAAAATATGAATTAAAATATATTAATGTTAAATGTTTGAAAAATCCGAATTGTACATTTCTAATTGATTGAATGATCTTGTTAATTTGTCTGTCAAAAGCTAATCGCCACAGGATGGGGTGCAACAGAGAGAGGCATAAAAAGTCCCGTCTTACTGCAAGTTCAACTGCCAGCAGTAGAAATCCCACGATGTCAAGAGATTTACAGGAGTAGAATTCAAATTTCGTACAAACAACTATGTGCCGGAGGTGAAAGAGATAAAGACTCTTGTTCTGGCGACAGTGGTGGACCTCTTCAATGGTATGCATTGTTCGGCATGGAAACACGATACGTTCAATATGGAATTGTTAGTTTTGGAATGAGAAATTGCGGTACAACAGGTTTCCCAGGGGTTTACACTAATGTTAAATATTATATGGATTGGATTTTAGATACTATTAGGGATTAATTCCATCGCTGACATATTATTTTATACTTTTTTATTCAAGCTTTATTTTTAGTGATAATGCGAATATTGTTATGATAAATAACAGGAAATTATTCCTCATTGCCTATTCAATATTTCACTTATCATTAATGAGACTTATCATTATATAACGTACTGAGTAATACAGATCTGCCAAATAAAAAGAAACGAAACAAAAAGAAACCACATTTCAATTACAACGTGAACGCATTTGCTTCGACGTATTGTTTGAACGTATAGATATTTCACAAATATTATTATTTAAGTATATTTATTTCTTATACAATGTATACCAGTTTTTAATTCATATATATCATTACAAAATTATAACATAATATAATACTTCATTAATTATTGCACTTATTGTAATGTACAATATAGTTAACAGCACATTGACAGTCGACTTATATAATAAATACAATTTAAAAGGAAACTCGTATAATCTATGTTTTAATAAAAAAAAATAATTACAAACAATCTAATTAAGTTTATATAAATATTCATAATATATGTATTCATCTATCTCTATTACTATTACGCTTATTTTACATGACATTTTTAATTATTTATAAATGCAATTTAATTATGTTAATTATTAAAATTGTACGTTTTTACTCATCCGGGGAATGATGATTACTTCGTAATACATCATCCTCGTGTTCCTCATCACTATAACGATCGCTTGATAATTTATCTTCAATTAATTCTGCCGTTTCTTTGATAGACACTTTAAGCGGTCCACGATAGCCTTTTTTCTTTGGACCAGAATTTTCTGATTTTTCGACTGATTTATCCGATTCCTTTGATTCCGAAGATTTCGATGATTGACTCGAAGATGCCAGAATAGTAGATGAACTGGTAAACGATCCCGAATTTGGCCTCGAATTACTACAATAACTTAGGTACGAATCGGTACCGCTATTATGGTTATCTCGCTTATTTATTCTCTTCTTTTTCTTCCTTTGTACGTTAGTCCCATAATTTTTCCTTTGCAATTTAGTTAATGACTGGAAACTCTAAATAAAATTACTGGATTTTCGAATATTTTCCTTTCCTTTTTTTTTCTTTCTTAATATTTTATTCCTGATCAAATATAATTATAATGCGTATTTACCTGAGAATGTCGTTCGAAAAGCGTCGGTATTTGTGTAACCCGATCCAACATCATTTCCATTTGAAGACGATGACGTTCGGCTTGTTCACGAGCTTCGTTGCGTCGCATGGATGTTCGAATATCCAAATCTTTTTCATGATCGTGCCTGCATCGTTTAAATAATTTGTTTTATCTAACAATTACAACGTACAAACTTTGTCAATAACCCTTCAAACGGCAAAAACAAATCTACTTGCGTGTACGTACGCTTTTTCAAATTTTTTTTTCTCTTCGAATTTTTACAATAAGTAATATCCAGAGAGAAATTCGTTAAAAATAACTTTTCAATGCGGCTAACTTTGATACCTCGTTGCGGACCTGAGTGCTCTCCAAGCGGGTTTACGACCAATTAAATTTTCTTTTAATTTGATAACTTGCTCCCGACGTTTTTCATCCATTCGTTCTCTTATCTCTCGTTCCAACTTTTCTCTAAAATAACAACAAACATAACGTTGATAAAAATTAGGATTTAAATTGATATTTAATTATATGCATTTAAACCAATAAATAGAAATTCGTGAATCAAGTTTTTAGCAAATAAAATACCGTGATGCTTGGCATCTGAGAACAGCTGCTAAATTATTGCCCCGTGATGGTAAACTGTTCAATGCAGATCTGGATCTTTCCGATATCATTGTTGTAAGATTTGATAATCGCGAGGATTCTCTACTTTGAACAATCGTTTCTTTAGTCGAGTCATTAGGAAAATTTTGTAAATTTGCACAAGCTGATTTCACACGTTCACGTCTTGCCATTGAAGGTGGCAATGAGGAAGATCTCATTAATTCGGATGCTCTCACCTTTTTTGTCAATTCTCTGAAAAATGATTACCTATAAATTCGTTCATTTGTATCATCCCGAACGATGCACAAATCTTTATTATTTATTAACAAATGAATATTTTTTAATTACGTTTAAATCTATATTATTATAAAATTATAAAATAAAATAATAATAACCTGTAGTATTCATCCTCAAGCATCCGGTCATATATCTCAGTACCAAACAAATTCTTAGGTACAGGTTTTGCCTTGAATCTCGAGGTCGAACGAGAATTTTTACTACATATTTCTGGACTTGAACGTGTCAAAGATCTCCAAGCTCTTCGATCACATTCAAGTTTAAAAGGACGCACTTGAGATAACAAGTTTAATGCACTTTCCTCGCGTACTATACGACTTCTTTGTCATAAAAGAATATGAAAACATAAAAAGTGAATTATATACGATGAAATTGTTTAAATTCACAAATGAAAGTTAAAGAGAGAGAAAATATCATTCGATTGATTCGTAAATAATTTGTTTTATCCATTTATATTGTAATATTGGAAATAAAATTAAAATGTTATTTTTATAAACTTTTTTTTCCAATATTTACGATAAAACAGAATATTATTTGTTTACGTATAAAATTCTCAATTATAGTAATAAATTCTATACCAATTTTAATAAAAATTTATGAATCAATTCGAAACTTTGTTTCGTAATTAATTTTAGAAATACAAAGTACCTCTCTTCTTTTTCAGCGAGTAACTTATCATAAAGTGGTATCTTAGAGGTAAGGGGAATAGGTCTAATGCGACGTTTTTTGGAAAGACTTTTTTTATTATTTTCCTTCTTAGAATATGCAACCGCTTCCACTTCCGCTAGTGTCATGTATTTTTCTGCTTCTTCTCTGAAAATCGATTTCGTATCATTCTTCTTGCTCGTATATCTATTACGATACTGATCAAATAGCATATCAATAACGTTTCATGACACAAACAAGAATATTCTACCTGAGAGTAAAACTAAACGGCTTAGGTACAGTCGGATGCCATTCCTTTGGACTACTCGCTGGAAGACTTTTGGTCTCCACGCTGTCTTCCGAATCGTTATTCAAACTTTCATTACTTTTTGATTCACTCCATGTATTCCAGCCTTTGTTAGCTATGTGTATTTCCTTGTTACGTGTCGCTTTAGCTTCCTTATCTTTAAATCTATCGCAAAGTAGGAAAAAAGGAAACAGATAAATTCATTTCAAGTTAATTCAGGGCCGTATTCAGACTAAGAAGCAAGTGGCATCGGCCTATGGGACAAATAGTTTTTGGGTACCATCATCAAAAAAAGAAAATTAATTATATAAAAAAGACTAGAGAGACGAAACGAACTCCAAATGTTTTATAGCAAGAATTTTAGTTTTTGGTTCTTGTTTATTTTGGCTTTGCCTTTCATATCCTTGAATAATATTCGATGTTACAATTTTTTATATATTATACCCACCTAAATGTCAAAAGATCTTGGTCTTCCATAAGTCCAGCGAAACTACCGGACGGATAAAGAATAGGACTGTTTGTTCTCGATTCCTCGATGTAACATTTTTTACCGTTTAATCTTAATTCATTGATGTCGTCTCGTATAACTTTGATGTTATGATTACTTCTCGACGTTGAAATTCTTGACGTATCTTTTTCAGTCTCGTCAAAGTTCTTTAAAAAAAGTCGTTGCTTCCTTCTCAAGTATTCGACCTTTTGCCGAAACTGTTCGTTAGACAGATGATTGACTTGTTTGTAATCAGGTATACTTTCCAAAAATTCTAAAAAATCCTCTAAATTTTCTCGAGGACTTGACAATTCCGATTCGGTTTTTGGTAAATTCTCTGCAGCGAAATTAATCTTTCGTCCTTTTGATTCGACAATATTTTGTTTTTCACTTTTGATCGATCGTGGACGTTCGTAGGAAGGTGTTGGTTGTCTGCTACATGGATCTACCGGTACTTTCACGCATGAATTATAAAACGATGTTCCTCTATGCTCTGCCATATTTAATTTCCTACGATTTAATATTTCTAATAAATAATTCAACATCAGAATGATCTAAATCAATAATCAAAATGTTTTTTTAATTTCTTTTTTAAGTTTAAATATTACAATTATACAAACAAATGAACAATCCGTATTGTTAGTATTGTAAATTAAAAATCTATAGACGAATGTGTTGTGATTCGAAGTTTTTATTATAATTTAAATATACGTACAGTCACATAAGAATATAGAAAATACACATTAACAAACTTTATTGAGATTTTCTGCAACTAGAAAAATGTATTTTAGTTTTGATTCTTATAAATATATCAAATTTGGTTTTTTATGATTCTATATGGTGAAAATAAAATTATGAATAATTAAATACTTGTTAAGTTGTCGAAGAATTTTCTTAACGATTCAATTAATTTAATTAGTAGAAAGTAATAATTGTGAAATAGTTTTCGACATACCTTGTTCTTCTTCTATAGCATATATTCTACCTATTTATGTTTTGAAGATCAATGGTAACCTCCCCGATATTTTCGTCGCCATGGTGAAATCGAAATGCATTTCTAAGTTTTTATAATTTACAATAAACGGAATCTTAAAAGAACGATTGCACACATTAATTCAATATTAATATTTATTTATAATTATCTTCTGCCCTTAAAATATTGTGCGATTTTCAATGACATTTTACTAATTTCTATTCTCCGTGTTGTCCTTACAATGGTTGCGATGACAACCATTCGAATATATTTCTTAGTTATTTTATGATCTGTAGCTGGAATAGTACGATTTAGTTGTACTTATTTGTTTCTGAAATAATTTTTTATTTTATTGAGATATTTATATTTAAAAAAATCGATCAATAAATTCATTTTTTGCATAAGTTAGATCGAGCGGTAATATTTTATTTTAAAATGAAATGTTCGGGCGCGAAAATTTTAAAAATATGCAGCATCGTTGAAATATTGTTTTTTTTTCTCGATTTAAATCAAACTAAATAAAAATATTTTAAGCGATATTAAAATTATTGCAAAAATATATAACTGATATTTATATATCAAATATTACAACAAGAATTTTTAATTTAATTGTTTATTTTCCAAATATAATGATAGTATTTACTATGCAAAATGGCAACCCTTGTCGGCACGGGAACTTTATATCGCAGATTGTTCATTTCTTTAACCAAACAGTGTAAATGCACTATTGCAAATAATGTGACGTCTATAAGAAGAAATTATACTGATGATAAAAACAATGAAGAATTTTATGATATTGTTATTGCAGGAGGTGGTATGGTAGGAACAACATTGGCATGTGCAATAGGTTAGTTTTATTTTTAATTTGTATATTGATATGATAGAGACTGTTTTTAAAATAGAAAAATGACTTACTTATACTAAAACTTTTTATTTCAAATATATATAAATATAAACAATGAATTATATCTACAATATATTACAAAATAATTATATTTATAACAATTTGCATAAATAACCAAATAATAACATAAATTATATTTAAAGCTAATAATAGAATGCTAGAGTCGAAAAATGTATTGCTATTGGAAGGCAACAATAAATATGAATATAAACCACAAGAGAAGTATTCCAATCGTGTTGTCGCTTTGAATCAACAAACTCGCACTTTACTATCGAGCATAGGAGCATGGCGACATATAGAAGCTGTACGATGTTGTCCAGTAAAAATAATGCAGGTACTACTAGATTTCTTTTTATACACCTTATTTTATTTAACATAAAGTATTATGGCCTTTACATATACATCATGTATAATATCAATTAGTAGGTCTGGGATGCATGTTCCGATGCTATAATAACTTTCAATGAGGATTATTTATCTAAAGAATTGGCATACATAGTAGAAAATGATTTACTACTTCATGCAGTAAATACACAGTTACGTGAAAAATCAAATGTTAATGTAGTCTATAATGCAAAAGTTACAAATTTATTGTTGCCGAACATTGAAGGAGCTAATACTAAAATACAACTAGAAAATGGAAAACAATACGAGACCAAGTTATTGGTAAGTGACAAATTTATATTTAATTACATTTTTATTTACTAGTTTCTTAAAAATAATGAATATAAAAAATACATTTTCTAATAACTTTTTCATTTTATTTACTAACTTACCGATACATCCAATTCTTTAGCAATATTCTCTACTCTATTGGTAAGACTGTTTAAACGCATTGTAATGTTATATGAACATCTTTTCAATTCATTCGCTAATTCATTTAGTTGTTGTTGATTATATTCTGTTGATGAATTAGTACTTTGAAGTCGATTGAACTTTACATAATCAGATTCCAATGCATTTACACTTTGCATAAATGTACCCCTATTGGTTGTATTTCTAACTTTTCTTTCGCATACCAAACGATATATAGCTTTTACTAAATCTCTGGGTAAACGTTTTTCTCTTGGATCATTTGGACGAATCTGAATTGCACAATGATATGGAGGGTGCAAAAGCATAGCTTCGCGTCTACATGTTCTCATTAGATTTTTAGGTGCATAATTTAATACCTTAGAAAATAACATTCCCTCTAGATATGATACAAGCTCAGCTCTACGTACCAATCTATCGAGTCCAGCACATCTTCTCAATTCTTGTATATCCGATACAGCCAGACCGACCATTAGATTTGTTAAGATTACAGTTACTAGAATAACAAAACTTAAAAGCATCAAATGTGATGTACCAGTATATAAAACTTTAAATTCTTTGTCAAAATATACGTCTTCAAATTCTAACTCTCCAGACATCATTATAATCGTTTTGAGTAAACCTATTAATGGATTTTCAAAAGATTTATAATTTTTATGTAAAACACAAAATCCTAGAGAGAATCCTATTATAAGACAAATGTAAGCACCAAGAAATTTAAAAAAATTTATTGACACTTGAGTAAACATTTGAATATAAAGCCCGAACATTGGAAATCTTCCTACGACTATCATTAATTCAATCCAGATTAATAAAATTCCTAAAGCTGCAACATGATGTTGCCAATTATTAATGGGTTTAATTAAAACGCAGCATGATGTTAAAATTACACACCATTGTAACCAATTTTCCCAACGTTTAACATAACAACATACGTCATGAGCAATTTGAAACAATTCTTTGATTATAAGCATACACGTGTAAGTTAATATTAGCCAAAATAATATTTTGCTAAAATTTTCCATATTCCATAAATATGTAACAGCAATATAGCCTGTAAAAAATATAACAAAAATAGAATGGAAGATTAAACTAAATAGGAAAAATTTACGTATTCTCAACCATTTCAAGTAAAGAAAACTTTCGCATAACGGATGCTTTAAAATATGACCTTGACCAACTTCTATTAAGCAAAGCATTAAATCCGTTTCTCCTTTTCCTCCTGGCACTAAGGGTCTAAAATCTAATCTCAACTCACAATCAACGTCTCCTAACTCATGATCATATAAAGATATAGCTTGATCCAGTCTTGTAACAAAACGTGGCAAAACATCTGGTGTTCTCCGAATAATAAAACTTAATGCTGAAATACCACCTTTAGTCCTGACAGTAACATCTGCACCTTTCGATAATAACATCATTACTGTAGATGAATTTTCATTTAATGCTGCTATATGTAGTGGAGTATAACCATATTTATCAGGCTTATTAACCGATGCCCCAGCCTATTTAAAAAAAAAAATTAAAATTCTTGCTATTTGTATAAATCTTTAATATGTTATTATATTTTTATTAATATATATGTATATATATATATATGAACCTGAATCAAAATTTTCACTAATTCAGTTGCTCTTAACGATTTTGCAACTGCTGCATGTAGCGGTGTTCTTCCGTCGATATCTTCGACGTTTACTGTTGCACCTGCATTAATAAGTACTTCCAAAGTTTCCGAAGATTGAGCTAATGCAGCTAAATGCATTGCCGTTTGGCCCTTTGAATTTTTAGCTTCGCACGAAGCACCAGCATTTACTAACAATTTAGTACATTCTGCACTACCTTCTTCAGCTGTTAAATGAATTGGTGTTGATCTAGCAGTGCCAAGCTGAACTCTTACATCAGCACCATGACTTAATAGAAGTTTCATGCAAGGAACAGATCCAAGACTAGCTGCTACATGTAATGGTGTCTCAGTATAAACCTATTTGAGAGTAATTATTATATTTTACACCATTAAATCAATAATATCATATATTTCATTATGTCAAGTACTTGTGGATTATTAGGATGTGCACCAGCCTGTAGCAAAACTTCAGCACTGTCTACTGCATTATTTAGTACTGCATAATGAAGGGGAGTTTTCCCTGGAAATCCAGCATTTACATCTGCTTTAGCTTTTATCAAAGATTTAATGCAAGCAACATTTCCAACTGCAGCAGCGCAATGCAAAGGTGTGCATTTTTTATTGAAATCCCATTCGCAAGGATCTACACCAAATGATAATAACTTTTCTAGTATTCTTACAAATGCAGCACTAGCTGCTAAATGTACTGGAGTCCTGTAATTATAATATGCATTTTTAGTACTACACAATATTTGTGTTATATTCTACCTTATATCCACCTTTATTAAAAACATTATGAGTTTATAACAAACCTTCCATCTTCATCCGTACAAGAGATGTTTACATTCTTTTCTAATAATATCTTAACTATTTCAAAATGACCAACCCAACAAGCAACGAGAAGACACGTCTCTGGCCATTTTACTAACAATTCTGTAGGTGTTGCTGTTGCTGCTGTATTATTTTCTGATATTAAAATAGTTTTCTTTATACATCTAATTTGAAACATAAATCAAATGAATTATATATATTAAACGAAATTAATCATTGTTGATAAATTATTACTTGTTTTAAAGCATACCCGTTTGTGAAACTGCATGTTCTTTTATAATCCATATGTAATTTTCTAAGATGTAAATCTTGTAATTCCTCTAATATTGTTTGCAAAATGCTGCCATACAATGTAGGAATTGTAGCAAGAGCTACCTCCCCTGCTGGAAGATTAGACAATGCTAAAGTAATTTCATCTTTAGTCCATAATTGTTGTTGATTCATTGGTCGTTGACGAATATGACACATTACGGGTTCCGATGTTTCCTCAGAAGAGATACTTTTTTTATCTATTTCATCCATCCATATATCATCCTCGTTGTTCTAAATAGTAAATCATTTTGTAACACGATAGAAAAATGTCATCTTGAAATAAAATAAACCATGTATGAAAAATATTTAAATTATTAATCTGACCTCATAATTAACAACGATAGATGGTGTTTTGTCTTTATCACTTTTTCTTGATTCTCTTTGTGAACTACTATGACCGGATAGTCTTTTAAAAAATTTTTTATTTAGTAAAGACATTGTTATATATTTTTCTTTGATCACTTTTATCTGAATACAATGCCTGAAAGATAAATCAAATACTTAATAATTATTTAATTAAAATGACGTCATATGAAATGTTTAGAAAAAGTGTAGAAATTTAATACTTTTTCTGTAATAGATAGGTAATAACTACAAACGTTTTATTCCGTTCACATTACTCTTGTGCATTACCACTAGGAAACTATTCCTGTTCTCTGTATATCTTACAGAATGTCCACATATACTCTTGATGTTTATAAAACAGAGCTGGCATATATTTAGCTCCCACTGTTCTTCAATATTCTAGCACCATTCACCATCTCTAAAGATAAATTTATGTAAATTTTTTTTACGCTATTTTTTCTTTTTTTTTTATATTGTAAACGTAATAAAAATTCCTACCCGTATAAAATGGTATCACGAAATGTATTTCTAAGTATATCAACTGATAGCAACATCCTTTGAGGAAATACTCGTATTCGTCATCTTAGGAAATATCTATACAAACGCACACTTCTTCCTGTCGGAAATGAAATATTAAATTAAATATAAAATTTAAAGAATAAGAGCGCGCAATAAATTAGTAAATTTTCACTTTAAAATTTTCACTTAAAAAAAAAAGTATAATTATTTTCTTATAAGTAAAGTAAAATTTCATCGTTTTAATTTAAAAATCACTGTCTTATTATTTGTATCTTCATAATCGCTAAAAGATGTTCTTATGATTCTTTTGAATGTGCATCTAATTTGTTAATAGCTTTTTTAAACTGGTTTTGGTGTAAAATTTTGTAATACTCTTAAAGTGTGCTTTCTGATACTTGGAACAGAACTAAAGAAGTTATTTCCAGACATAGTAGAATGAAGTCTGTAGTATTACTCCCACTTCTTATAATGTTATCCCTAACAACAGTTTAATTTATAATAATATACTTATATTAATATAATAGGTAGGTGCAGATGGAGTTAATTCCAAAGTACGTGAAGCTATGAATGTTCAGTACGTACAATGGAAATACGATCAAATGGGAATTGTTGCTACATTGGAATTATGTGAACCAACAGAAAATATTGTCGCTTGGCAAAGATTCCTTCCAACTGGACCAATAGCTTTACTTCCGGTACATTATTATTGTAAATTTATTTTAAATAAATAATGTGTGTGTGTAAATAATTTTATAATATACATTGAAGTTTTTACTAATATTTTAGTTAACGAATACCCTTAGCTCATTGGTATGGTCTCTTACAACTAAAGAAGCAAAAAATCTTATGAAAATATCAGAGGAAGAGTTTGTTGATAGTATAAACAAGGCATTGTGGAAAGTATATCCTAAAGATGGTATTGTAGAAAGTGGTATGAAAGCTTTACAGCAATTACTCCAAGGATTATCTCTACAAAATGGAATATCAAGACAATTGCCACCATCAGTATCAAAAATCGTAGAAGGTTCAAGAGCAGCTTTTCCGTTAGGATTTGGTCATTCTGTATCATATGTTGCTCCTGGAACAGTCTTGATTGGGTAATTAATTAATTTTCTTTTATCTGTATATTTGGTCTTTTAAATGTAATTTTTTAAGAACAATTTTTTAAATTATATTACAGAGATGCAGCACATCGTGTTCATCCTTTAGCTGGTCAAGGCGTTAATTTAGGCTTTGGAGATATTGTTGATTTGGTAAAAATTCTTGCAGATATAGTTAAGGATGGTGCTGTATTTGGTAACATGTTGTACTTGACTAAATATGAAACTTTACGTCAGCGTCATAACATTCCTACAATGCTAGCTATTGATGCTCTTCATCGATTGTACAAAGGAACTGCAGCTCCCATTATTCTGGCTCGAAGTTTAGGATTACAAATTACAAATGCTATACCAATATTAAAGGTAACATATATATATATGCATATAAATTTCTGTAAAATAAAAATAAATTAAATAAATATTTCAGAAAGCCTTGATACAGCATGCATCCAACCAAGAAGTTAGATGTTAATCATAGGTTGTAATTTTTATAAATATTAATTGTAACATTGTAACTGATTATAAAGTAGTAATAGAAGAAAGAGTAGTTTACTTAATATAAAAGAAATATATGAGCTTTAATATTTGTCATTACATTTTCTATATTATTTTATGTACAACATAACTTTATATTTTAGTACTAAATTCTGTATAAATAAGAGGCTGTGCAGTTTATACATACATTGCGATTATATATATTATATAATGCTCCCAATTGACTTATTAAGTATTGAGAAATATTTCCTTTATCATTATAAAGTCAAAATTATTTAATCATTTATTTTCCAGCCATTCAACATCCTATAAAAAAAAATGGCTTGTTTTGCAATCAAAATTGATATGCAAGTTCAACATTATTTCGTATTATAAAATCATTAAATTTTATATAATTGTCTGATTTAATTCATAAATTGTTATATAATATTAATGCCTGCAATAAATGAAGGTCATTTTGTAATTTATAAAATATATGCAAAAATTTTATAAAGGTGAAAGTATCTTAGTCATTCAAAAACTTCTAGTCAATAAGGAAAGTTTTCAACTATTCAGTTTTGAAAAAGCTAACTTACTAATTATTTATCCTTCGAATATTCGATAAGTATCATTTTTATTTCAAATATAACAGTGAATAAAGGATAATTTAACTACATAAATATGTTACGAATATTAGATACTTCACTGATTTTTTATTACAACGTGTTCGTTATATGAATGACATTTAGGTTATGTAACATGAAGATTATATGACGAAATTATAAAAAAGAGTTAATTCATAATATTACTTACAATTTTTTGAAATATAAAAATAATATAACAGAAATAGATACACATATTTATTTTTTAACATATTGAAGACATGATTTAAGGTTAGTTTTGTCTATTGATTTATATATTCTTACAAAATAACTCTTAATTTGATATTTACTTAACAACTTTACAGATTTTTATGGCAATGATTACATTAAGAAGATTTTTGAAAACTGCTACAATAAGTACAATAGCTGTAGGCACTTTGGTATCCTTAAGAGCTAACGAATATGATATTGGATCAATAGGTATTGTACGCCTTGGACGTGCTGCTGTTACTGTTTTTATAATAGGTAATCATTATAAAAAAGAACTTTACAATAGCAATTTAAAGAGTACATCACCAAAATATTTAGAATTAAAATCAAAAGCACACAAATATGGAGCAGAACGCCTTCTAGAGCTTTGTTGTGCCAATAAGGGTGTATATATAAAAGTTGGCCAGCATATTGGAGCATTAGATTATTTGTTACCAGCAGAATATGTTAGTACATTGCGTGTTTTACACAGTTCTGCTCCACAGTCATCGTTCAAAGATGTCCTCAGGGTAATAAAAGAAGATTTCAAAAAAGACCCATATGATATATTCGAAGTCATCGAGCCAACACCTTTGGGAACCGCAAGTCTTGCACAAGTTCACAAAGCTGTACTTAAAAATGGCAATGTTGTCGCTGTTAAAGTTCAACATCGTACTGTCAAGACCAATGCTTTTGTTGACATAAAAACAATGTCAGCATTAGTAAAAATTACATCCTATATATTTCCAGACTTTAAATTCGATTGGTTAGTCGATGAAAGTAAAAAAAATATACCGCAAGAATTAGATTTTACTCAAGAAGGAAGAAATGCAGAAAAGATACAAAGCCAATTTTCTCATTACAATTGGTTAATAATACCAAAAATATATTGGGATTTATCATCTCAACGAGTTTTAACTATGGAATTCTTAGAAGGCGGTCAAGTTAATGATCTTCAATATCTACGAAGCAAAAAATTAAATCCATATGAAGTCAGTAGTAAATTAGGTCGTTTATACAGCCATATGATATTTATTAGCGGATTTGTACATTCGGATCCTCATCCTGGAAACATTCTTGTTAGAAATAATAATTCGGAAGCTGAAATAATCTTATTGGATCATGGATTGTACGCAAATCTTTCCAATGAGTTTAGATGGGAATATTCTAAATTATGGTTAGCAATATTGAACGGAGATAAATTTGCTATGCAAAAACATTGTACGAATTTAGGCGTAGGTGATCTTTACGGATTACTATCGTGTATGGTGTCTGGTAGAACGTGGGATACTATAATGTCAGGGGTGCAGAAAAAAAATTACGATAAACACGAGAAAGAACTTTTTCAAAAAGAAATACCTAATTTATTACCACAAATTAGCGACGTATTGCAAAGGGTTAATAGGCAAATGTTGTTAATTCTTAAAACTAATGATCTAATGCGTGGAATTGAACATTCATTGAAGACACAAAATCGAATGTCTTCATTCATGGAAATGTCCAAATGTTGCATTCAATCGGTTTATGGAGAGAAATTAAAATTCTGTTCAAGCGGATGGAAACGATGGGAATTGAGTTTTCTCGAACAATGGGCTCTTATGAAATTATCATTTTATTATGTCTACTTAGGCTTATTTCATTTTGATATAAACAAAAGCATTGAGTCATACTGGGCAAATGATTTCTATGCTTTTTAATCAAACTTACAATTAGATAGCAAACAATATACTAAAAAATGATATAGCAATTTTGTATATTCTTTTACCGATTTAAAAAAATATTTAGAAATTAATATTTTTAAATTCATACATTTTAATATTAATGCCAAATAGTTGTAACATTATTTTTCATTAATTATACATATAGATTTAAATTGTTACTAAATTTTTAATACTGTTTGTTATCAATTAAAAGTATTGAGTATAAAAAAATATAAATTTATTTAATAAACACATTAATAATAATACATTTCTATATTTGTATGCCATATATAAATACCAAGAAACAACCTAACTTATATATTAAATTCAGGGAATGTAATATAAACATATTGTATATATTCTTTGCAAAGAGCATAAATATATGGAATTGTTAGAATAATTTATCATTGCCTCTATAAAAAAGACATAATATACATGAAATGTAACTGCAGATATATATACTATATATCACACTACAATACATCCAATTTGTATAAACGAAAAGAAAGTTTGCAAGTAAATGAGCAATTTTGTTAATAACATTTTTAAAAATAAATATTTTAAATAATTCTCCATAAGAGAGATTTATTTTCCATTCCTATGTAAAAATTAAAACCAAACTACGAAAAATTTCGTTTCAAAGAAATTCCAACAATTGTTTAGTGTATGCATAGATTCTTCATATCTAGATGTGTCCTTTGAAACAGCGTGACTTCGACCTAAGCATTTGTTTAACATAAAATCAAAAATAACAGAAATATTTCAGTTGATCAAATTAGTTGGTACACTCTATATATATTCTTAAATATATCATAAATCGATAATTTTATAACCTCTACTTTTGTAAATTATGCGCATGCTTTCTGCAACGACTAACAAAGATGACGCAATCTTTATTGATCGAATCTTAACTTAAAAGAAGAATATACGTATAACTCTTCCATGAGTTTTTTTAATAAAATTTATCTAATTTAAATGTTTGTAAATTACTATTTTAGAAACACGATATATATAATTGCATAAATATATGCAACGTGTCTTAGAACAAATTTTACAAAAGAAAAGATTATGTATTCTGTAATGGACAAATAAAAACGCAATATTTTTTCATACTAGGCTTTTCTCATTTTGCACAAAATTTAGTTTAAAAATCTACTGCATTCTTATATAATCATTTAGTAAATAAAACATCTATCGATTTGTAAACAATGTTTTGAGTTTCTTTTGTTATTTTTTATTTGTTTTACACGAGTACCTGTTTTTTATCTTTCAGAACATCTACTTTTTATGCATTACTCACTATACATATATATATATATATGTTCATACACTGTTATTTTTCTAAAAATAAATCTGTTCTTTCGATAATATACGCATTTATGCGTAATACATACTACAAAGTTATTGTTAATGAAAAGTTACAGAGCAACATTTCTATCTAATTTGCAACAAAAATATCCAAACTTTTTTGTCTTTATTTTCGACCAAAGAAATTTAAAAAATATTTTATTAGAATTATTTAGTATTTAAATAAGAATTAGTTTAGATATTATGAATCATATAATTGCAATCTATAAAAAACCTAAGGTTTTCGTCATTTGTAATATCGTAACATCTTTGAGCGTCATGTCTGAGATTATTTTTAAATAAATAAATTGATATATCTATACTTATACGTATAGTACAAGAACCACCATCATATCTAACACACAAAAGTGAGAAAAAATAGATATTTCTATATTATTCGGGGAAAAGAAAGTTTCTATACAATGGGTGTTGTTCTATGGAACGAGTATATTCGAGAAGGAAATTCTCCGTAAGCTATGTTGCCAGATTTCTCATAAAAGTATATGACCCATAAAAATATTGAAATATTTTATTATATTATTAAATATTTTCAAATCTTTATTATCAAAATGTTATACTATATTCGTTTTTATATTTTCCAATTATTTTAATATAAAATATATCACTCAGTTAAGATGCTACGCAATTTTCCTCTAGGTTTAAAATTGTATTTTCTGGAAATTGTTATTCAAATAATTGTTATCCTAAATATGAGGTCAAAATCTTTTTTTGATCAAAGCCTTAATTATATTTTAAAATGTATACTTTTTATAAAGATTTTTCGTTTCTTAGAATTATAGAAATATGTTTACATTTTCTCAAAAAAAGAAAAAAAGAGAGAGAAAGAATATGTACGGAGCATGAAAGTATATAAAATTAAAGAAAAAATACAAATATATGAATATATAAGAATATATAAATATATATTTTTACTAAAGTAAAAATATAATAAAAAGAAAGAAATTAATATTTTCGCTATTATTCTATGAAAAGGTTAAGGCATGCCATCGAAAAAGTGGAAATCTGGCAACCTTGTAATTTGTCCGCAACAAGATGGCTGCGGTAGACGTGAAGATCGTCAGATGAGTGTATGAAAATGGAGGGGGAAGTTCGAATAAGCGACCGCATTACGTTCCTACGCCAACAAATGTTTTCTTTTGAGTATTAATTAATCGAAAAGAAGTCAAATAAAGAAAAAAAATTCTTACTATTATTATTAAAAAATATTATAGAAACAATGAATACAAATTTTGAACCAAAAATTCAATCGTAATAATAAATTAGCAACGATATTTGGGGAACTACTTTCTATCGATCGCGCGTAAGGACACTACATAGTGGCGCATGGAGGGGTATATAAACAGCTACCTTGGTTTCCGTAAGATCCATTTCTCTAGTCGACCTCAAACTGTACGGACCGTGTTTGGCTCTAGTCTAAAATTTAATTAGTTAGTAATCTAGTGTTAATATTTAAGTTACGTGTTCTATTCATCGTCTTCTCATATAATCCGCAATGCTACTCGGATCGTGAAGAGACACGAGCCAGATACAGGTTGGTGTTTACATTAATTATTAACATTACTAGGTGAAATATAAAAAACATCTATATTTGTGTGAGGTTGCAATACTTGTTGGTATTCGTAAGTTAGTGCATCAAGTATATGTAAGAACACGTACACGGTCTATAGAAAAAAGACGTCGAATTAGAGGAAATAGAAGAATATGGATAAAGAACTGTTTTTTGGCTCGTTGCAACTACAGAAAACTAATCATCATAATCCACCATCTCAGCAGCTTCAGACTTCTGCTGACCGTTCGCAGACCGAAAACAAAATGGACGGACGTAAGAACTTTAACTATGATGCATCTAAGACCAAGCTTTTAACTAAGTGGATAAAAACTGTACGTCGTAAGCAATTACATTTACGTAAAAATCGTCAGCGCAATTTACGTATAGAAACTATTTTGGCGTACGCTCTTTCTAGCGCTGAATACAAGCTTAGAAGTAAACAACTAAAGATCTCACAATCACAGAATCAAAGTTACTCTGATCTTATATCTCAACACAATAATTCACAACCCGAACCATTGTGTCCAGAATTAAGCAGCTTAGACGATTTCATGAAACAAGTATCTGAAGTCAAAGATCCACTACAACGCTAAAATTGCGTAACTTACGAAAGGATCTAAAAATCTCTACCTCACCAATTAACCTAGCACCAATAATTAAATTAATACCAAGATTTCATCATTTGGATGAAACTAGAAGAGTTGCAGTACCGACCAGTGTACTGAGGCGTCTACAAGTGTTACATCGTTACCCTGGTGTATATCTGGAAATTTTTTACTTGCAGTCTCACCGTTTGAGGTGGCTATGGAAGAAGTGGTTAGGAAGAGAGAGGATACTGCCAATCGAGATGTCCATGGGCACTGAGCACATCTAGGAAGCTGAGATACCATTCTTTCTGGTCCTAGTCTATCATCGATTTGGTTTGTAAACTGTATCGAACCAAAACATTCTATTAACTTTGAAATTGGAACTTTTTAAAGCGAGACTCAATTTGGTGAACAATTATTTGTAGAGTTTAATTAGATTTACAGACAATGTGTTCAAATATTAGGCCATCCAGAAAATTCTTTGGTTTCTCATAGATGCCCATTTTAACTTGTTTTTGTAAAATTTAATGATGAAACCCAAACTTTGAAATAATTTTTTGTTTGTTTGCATGATATACTTGATTGCGGTTTCATATTATACGCTTTAATCTCTATGAAAACTGCAGAACATTATGGATGACCCATTTCAGGATTAATTTGTAGCATCACTGGAATAACTTGACTAATGGTTCATGTACCTGTATAATTTTTGTAATTATTTCCAATGTGATACTAAATCGTAGCATTTAATATTTTACTGTGATAAAGAAATATTGTAATATTAAAATGATCTCAAGTTGTAGAGTAATAGAATTTGATGTACAGTAGACTTTTGTATAACACGGTTAATACATTACACGTTATAGGACAAACAATTTCCTATATTTAATGTTTTGGTATAAATTTCTGAGAACATATTTGATATTGAGAAAATTCTTTTCTGCAAATTATTCTTGATAATTACTAACTAGTTTTGTACGAAAGTCTACTGTAGAAGACTATTGACGAAAATGTTAATTCACATTGAATTTTGTATATTGATATATATAATATATAATATATATATATATATATATATATTATATATATTAGATGATATATATTTTATAGATGACGAGATGAATAACGGAAGTATTCACGAAAATAAATTGTTTGAAATAAAAATGATTTTCTTCATATAATCTGCCAATATCATCATACACATCATATTAATACCATAAATCCTTTTCAGTCTGGCATTCACCCTAGAAAATCCTTGAGCAAGAGAATACTAAACAAATATCGCTGAAGCAATTGGTTATCGGCTCTGAAGTTGTTGGCCTGTCCATAACCCGTAGGAATAAGGTGTGGTGAGACGACAAGATTTGTATCGAGTGGGAAAGGGGTGGGTTAGTCTTTGTTTTTAGAAGGTCGTGCAAGCCGCACTTTGATCTCCAAATGTGTGGGGGCCCAGTCGAGCATAAACATGTACCTACCCACCATATCTTCGCACCGTCAGCACACAACCAACTCGCGAGTCTTCTCAAAAACTTCAGCGCGTGATGCACAAGGCTCACTACGAGGCAGAAAACTCGTACCACTCTCTGGTGAGCTCTTTCGTATTGCCAACCACCACCACCCTTGTAACGTGTTTCTTCAGATTCGGAACGTTTCTACTGAACGTGGAAGATTCTCAAAAACTCCTCCAGTGCTTGCGCTGCTAATACCAATTTACTCTGGTTGTTGACATGATGCAAATCGGCTATGCCAGTATACAATCAACTTCATCGATACATTTTATTAGCATAAGTTTTGAGGTATGATGATTCGTAATGCATGTCAGTAATTAAAGCAAAGAAATATGAGAGAAAATGATCTATGGTAAATATGAGTAGTAGTTTCACACAAAAGAGTTATGAATGAAGAATAGCAATGGGTTTTACTAACAAAGCCAGCGATGATGATGAAGATGATGCATAAGTTTTTACATTTTTCTATGCTCTTTTGGTCTCTGTGTGCGCAATAATTATTTTCACAGATATGATGTGATCCTGAAAGATACTTACCCCTCGGTGGCATAAAGGTACCCTGTATATCAATATGTTTATAAAATTAGGGATGGAATTTGTGCGTTATGTGTTTTCTAGATTAAATGGAAAGCATGGTCAATAGAATCTATCTCACTGAGATGTACAGAACAGGAATTAATTGAAGGAAGGAGGTATCCCTTACAAGTATTAGATGTATTATGAACTGACATGTATGAATATAGAAGGACAGGGGGCAGGTGTATGTTGAGAATTTTTTTTACTTCAGAATGTTCTATTCCTCTATATGGATTTTTCATTCTTCACTCTAACAACGGAGATAGGATTTAGCAATGATGAAAACTGCTTTGGATGGAAGAAGTTGCTGGAACATGATAGAAAGTCTAAATACTTTGATCAATGCAATTTTGTTTTAAGCCCTGAGAAAAATTTATTTGATATCAAAACTTAGTCACAATTAATAACCGTTAAACTACATTTGGTTTTTAAATATGAAACAATATATCAAGAACAACAACATTGGAAAATGATTGACTGGCTTGAAAGAAATTTGCTTATTGATATGAATATATGTTTTGAAATCTATATTCTGTTGTGAGGCTTCTTTTGGGGCTGTTCTGTTTTTCACAGTTATCATAGACAAATTTTAATGCGCTGGAAGATTGCTGGAATTGTATATATTATAACGCTCATATAATCTCTCAATGTCTGGCTTAAATTGGAAAAGGTATGTTGGAGATTCCGGATTATTTCACATTCTTATTCCAGTTACTACTAATCAGCCCCAAATATCGCAAACACATGGCTTTGGATTTCGACTGGATCCTGGTATATTACAATCGCTAATAATGTATTTGTAAGCAAATTTTACATAATGCATATATTTGTACATAGTCGGATGTGCAATTGAACATTATTATTATTATTATTATTATTATTATTATTTAAACTTGCGTATTTGATCGTTTGGAAATAGTTTATGTGGTAAGGGTGGGCAAAGCAAAATGTTGTTTTGAGCTACAGGAATGTTGCTGTGTTTCGTGCAATTACTAAAATGGAGAAGACTCGTTTGGATACATCTCTACAGTCTAACAAGATATGTTGTTGAACAAGAAAGAACATCCAAACACTACTTAATGAATATACGTTAAAAGAAAAGTAGACAAAAACGCATAATATTTATTACTTAGCAATGATTCTTCCATGAAAGTATTTCTTATTGTTCACCAAAGTTTAAATAACAGGTTCCTGCACTGCACGCTGATATCATATGATAATAACATACATCCACAACATTCATCATTTGAATATAAATTTAAACAAAGTATTAAGAAGATGGATATATGTTGTAAGAATTCATGTTCTAATATTCAGACATTTCAAATATCATAATTTTCAATAGTATGTGTGTACGTCACAAGGTATTTCAACTTATATACCTAAAACAATTTTATGCAACTCTTTAATCAGTATAATTTTTCTTTCTTTTTGTTTTTTTTTTAAATATATGTATATAGTTTAGATTCGTAGATTGTTTTATGTGAGAATTAGGGAAGGAAAGGGAAGGGCAAAAAGATCTTGCATTTTCTTTCCACAGAGATTGCTAGCTGAACTATGCACATTTCCCCATCAGGTATTCTTGTGATATCAGCCAAAGCATGTGCAGCATGGTAGTCTACTTCAGAACGCATTGTACCTAGCCAGTGGAAGATTAGAATATAGCTATTTGAGAAACGCACTTTTGAAACTGCTAATTGGTGGAAAATTTCTTCTTCATGGGATGCAGATATTAACATATCCATTGAACGCATATATATCCAACAACCGTCCTTACGTCAGAAGATAATACCGCACAGAACATCCATCCGTATGTATCATGTAGATAAAAAAAACACATCCATTATTTGAATTTTACAACACCATCTAAAGAGAAAAGGATAAGGCAATGAATGACACCCTAAAGTAGATAGCTTGTGCAATTGCAACGATTTTATTATTTAACAAGCTGGTACGATATAATGATATTATTTACAAGACTCGTCAATATTGGAGTAAAATAATTCTCTGAGACAAGAATTCGAATTGAAGTATAAAAGTCATCATTTTCCAGATAGAAATGTTTCTCAGGTAAATAGTAGGTGTATTGTAGGAGGGAAATTAATATTTTTCTTGCAGGAAAATGATAGAGATTAAAAATGACAGAGATTAAAAATAACATTGTTTCTATAGAAAAAAAAACATGTGGAAGAAGTATATCAAACGATTATCAATTTTATTTTTGCTGCAATGATTGATTGGTCAATTTCGTTTAACATATAGAGTATAACAGCAAGATATATAATATATTACGGAATAGAAATTTTTTCTTCGCTTATTTATGAAACCAGGCAATTTATGAAGATATTTCAAATACATGGCTTGTAATATTTGAAGATAGGAAGAGGAGAAGGAATACTACTGAAAGTGTAGGCTGTGTGAAACTAGTGCATTCGTTTGTTTATATTTAATTATGCTATGATGTGAGAAAGTTCTTTGATATATCAAAAATACGTGTGAATAAAACCAAGTTTTGTGTAATGTGATAACCAAGCAAGTGTTGTACTTCAAGCTCAAGATATATATGTATAATGCGCATCATGATTGCTAAAATTGGGTGGAATATTAAGTTTGGTAGCAAATGTACGTTCGGTCTTGAATATATAGAAAGTAATTAGCGCATTACAATTGTCCAAATCTACCAAAGTAATTTAACGAATGATGCTTGGTAATTAAAAATTCTCTGTGGCTGGAAGAGGTAGAAATAATATTACTATTATCGTAGAAATGGCTTTTGATGCTAGCAAAACTTTGGTGAGTGAATTTCGTGAGTTGATATATATATACATATATATATATATATATATATATATTTTTTTTTTCTTCTATTAGAAAAAGACATTATGAGACTTAACAATTTTTTAATGGCTTTATTGATTGATATGCTGTTTATTAAGTGCTGTGTATTGCGCGCTTTTAAACTTACTTCTTCATTGATTCTATACTACACATTGTATAATAATTGGTTACTTTGCTTCCAAAATGATTGTGTACTGCTGTATATCACATCAGTGTATTGAAAAGTTTAATAAATTATTTAGACATTTTGGGGTAGGGAGGGGGAAGGGAGGGGTACTAATAACTTGAAAATTCTTCAATAGCATTTCAGATTTAGCATCACTTGTATGTGCGATATATAGAAAAATTTTCTAGCATTATGGGTTGTCCTCTTAGGATCAAGAATACGCATGAGATGATGGATGTGCACTATACTAAATAGCGAAGAGAAAATGTCCATAATTAATATTTAACTCGACTGTTTCTCTATGATGCTATAATAATGCTTATCTTCTCCTGTTTCTTTAAGTACAGTATTAACTGAGGTATTTCTTCAACAACAATCATTTTACTTAACGTATTGTTAAGGGTAGATTTTGGTAATTTTCTCCTAGATCACACATTCTTCATAATTTGTACAGAAGCAACATATATTAACTTGCAACGAATTTAGATATTTATAACATCCAACTTGATCGAAAATTATTATAGCACTTGGTCAATATCAAAAATGTATTACTAAAAGTATTCAATGCAGGAAGGAAAGCACAGAAATCATAGCACTTCATCGATATTGAAAAGCATTATGACAAGTTTTTAATACAGGAAGAAAAACAGAATTAATCATTATAGCAGTTTTTGTCAACATTGAAAAAAATTATGACAAGTTTTCTCAATACAGGAAGAAACACAAAAATCAACTATTTCATATAGATGCCATACATTTATATAAGCAAAGTTAAAATAATCAATGAAGATTCTTGGAAGATAGTCGATCGCGATTTTCTCAGGACTTCAGTAATACTGTTAAAGCTCGGAATAAATCTAGTCAATGGATCCTTGAAAACATCGATGGTGTCCCAATGCCCGATCAAACTAAAAGGATGGGATTGGTCGTCGAATAAAACCGTGGTGTTGACGTCCATCGGTATTCTACTAATTTTGGAAGATCTTCATATTCGGCATCATCGTCTCTTGGGTTTATGCCTTCATAGTCAAACTTTTAGCAGCCGAAATTATCATTGGGATGAATGCTACACTGAAAATAACTTTTAGGAACGTTACTCATGCAGTACGACTTTGGAAAATTTTGTCGAAGTTATTGGTATCGCAGGCATCAAAATAATATCTACTATCGGAGAATTAATAATTAATGGGATATCCACATTTGGCGTTTGGCGTTTGGCTGTATCTTCTTCCTCTTCTTGGATGTTACTATTTTCCCCGTATACAATTAGGAGATGATATTTTTCAATTGACCCGAACCATCTTTAAAACAGGCCTTGGGATAAATAATGCAGAGTTCCAGCAAAATAGCATATTTTTTAATTTTAAAAGGTTTGAATCAGAACATGAATTTCTTATGTTCGGTGTTTATTCTCATTGAGTTCGTTTACTAACAAACTTTCTTTTTTTACAGATATTTTTTCTTTATATCTAGTTGGGAGACTTCCAACCTATCGAAGATAAGATTGTTTCAACATTTATTATTTTTTTAGAGTTTTCATTTTTAACATTTATGTTGGTTGTTACATTACTTTTAGTATTTGTCACGTTTTCAACTTGTTTTTAGATGCCATAAGCGTGTTAATGCACTGTGCATTGCTGGCCGCTTGTAGAAAAAGCGCATGTGTATACACGCTCTTGTCTGAACTTTCTATTATTAATAAGATTTTTATCTGCGGCCTGTCGACCTTTGTAAAAACGATATTATATATAAAAAAATTCATCAAATTATGTTTAAAAAAATATACATATAAAAAAAAATTATATATAAACAAAAGAATTAAAAAATATATTGAAAAAAATTAAAAAAGATTGAAATATTAAAAAAATTAAGAAAGATTAAAATACAAAAAATTAAAAAGATTATACAAAAAATTAAAAAAAATTATACAAAAAAATAAAAAAGATTATACAAAAAAATAAAAAAGATTATACAAAAAATTAAAAAGGATTAATATACATAGAAAATTAAAAAAGATAAGAATATAAAATAAAAAACAAAAACAATAAAAAAAAAATATTTAAAAGAATAAAAATGAGATCCCTTAAAAGAAAGCAACAATTACATAAAAAATATAAAAAAAAAAAAATATACACATATATAAAATGATTAAAAAAACAAAAATATGTTTATAATAATTTAGTGTGTATTACTCTAGTGAAAGAGAAAATAGTCGCTATGCAATTACGTAAATTATGATTACATATAATTATTTTGTCATAAAATTTTATATTGTTAGCAAAATATTATATTTCAGGTAACTATAGAAAGAAAAAAAATGTTTTGAAGATTAATCTCCTTTTGAATATGCTAACAACATTTTAGTAGCTTTGAAGGCAATCAATTTTACTAAAAATAGCAGCATATACTTGGAATGGATTAATTGGCATAGATAAAAACAATTCTGCAAATACTGCAATATATTAAAATATTACAATTCGGAGAGGAAATCAATCATCTAAACTGAAAATAAAAAAGAATATTTATAATAATATCTCGGTCTTAATTATGTTTTTAAGATGGATATTATTTTAACAAACAGTTATTGTACTTAATACGTTTGAATTTTTAACGTTTTTAAACTAATTCAAATACTTCTTAACGAAAAATTGGCAATGATATTTAATAAACAAGAAATATGTACACGAAAAAAAATAAATCAAATGCTACTAATTACAATGAATAACAGAAACGAAGGATATTCAAACGTTACTTTATCAGTATTTATGTATTCGAGTACTGTGAAATACTCTGCATTGTATATTTGTCAAATTAATGATTCGAATTATTGTAATTACTGATATGTAAAAGATATTACAATAATAGAATAACAATTAATACCATAAAAAATGTATGAATTGTAATACTTAAATAATTAGTCATCTATGGAATGTACATTATAAGATCCTCGTCAGAGGAGAAAGTACATTGTAAAAACATCCCATACTATTTGGAGAGCTGGACATC